AAGCCGTTTTTGCTAGACTTTTTGTCCTGATTACGAATCCGTAAGTTTAAATTTCCCTCGGCTGCAGATTGATTTTGAGAAGAAGGATGCCAAACTGTAAAAAAATCGCAATCTTTGCAATATTTAAGAAGCTCTAGCAAAGAAGCCAAAGGTGATAGAACCTTTCACTAAGCCCTAAATTAAACGAAATGTGATTGAAGAGCGCCCCATTTCAGAATTTTATTGAAAAACACTCTATCTGAGAATTTGGCTGAAGAACGCCCTATCTCAGAATTCGGTTCAAAAGCGCCTTATATCAATTGAAAATACATTGAAAATATCCTGAGCTGGGCGTTCTTGAACCGAATTCTGAGATAGGGCGTTCTTAAAAGAAATGCGGAAATAGGGCGTGCTTGAAAAGTTTCTGAGATAGGGCGTTTAGTACCAGGCTGGCCGGTTTACCACATACACTTAGATATTAAAATTGACACTGAAATGATAATACATAGATAGATTTGCGAAAAAGGAAAGCACTAAGTTGAGTAATTTAAATTAATATTATCGAAGTTCTGAAGACTTTGTTAAAATAATTCCATTCTTCAATCGAAAAAACTTTGTAAGTAATAAATATCAACAACTAAACCTACATATGTATATCCATTGCTTTAATAAACACCATGTACAATTTTGTATCTTATTTAGGGAAACAAATTTTGAGCAGTAACATCGATACATCGATGTTTCGATGCATCGGAGAAAATAACATCGAGGCTAAAATACATCGCCACAGAAATATCGACATATCGATGGTTTCCGATGTTTTACAATTTGTTAAGTTCTGGTCAATTTTAAAACAATATTGAATACTTTAATAATTATGAATGTATTTTCCTGTATTTTATTATCCTTTCTATACCCTTTATATAATTAGAATACCATCGTAAGGTCATTCGGTTCTGTTTTAACGGTTAGGTAATTACACCGTGCAACAGTCAATTTTACATACGAAAAAATCAATATATTCACAAAACTGGGCACCAAATATAGTAAAACTGCGTTTTTAGTTTTTCTCTCTGATGTCAGGATTTTTTTGAAAAGGACTTTGAAATTTCGAGAATATGATTGAATAAAGAAATTATTCAAAAGATTCGATGTATTGTAAAATAACAATATGGCTATCAATTAAAAGGAAAAATTCTGTAGAATAGAAAAATAAATTAATTTTAGGGTACATCAGGGCCCATTGCACCAACGACTTATCACTTATCACTTTGCAACTTTTGTATAAGCCTTTTTATTGAAAAGTAAAGCTGATAAGTGTTGAACTTTTTACTTATCATAAAAAACTTATCAACTTATGAAAAAATTAATAACTGACAAGTTTTTTGGATAAGTCGATTTGATAACCATTGCACAGCCAATTTCTTTTGCTTTTCAAATAGAGAACTTTTCCAATAATGTGCTTAGCTAAAATGATTACCGTTTCTCAATGGAAAACGAAAACTTAGCAAACCCATGTGCGAAATTATTAAGGAAAAAAGTAAGTCCTTATTGACTATGTATGTTTACATAAATAACTAAATTTTTCTAAATTAAGGATTATTTGTTTGGATCTTTCCAAAATAATTCAGTAACAAAAACCACATTGCATTAATTAAACGATTTCCGTACCGGTTAACAAATCATAGTTCCATCAATGCTCCCTGCGTCTAAAGGAAATTCACCAATGTTGAAAAATTTTGTGGCAAGATTTTTCGTGAATTCCCGCGAACAAATAGTTTCATACATCAATTTGTTTATCAGAGCATTTGCCACTCGATGGATTATTGTACATACCGCTAATTTGTGTAATTGGTGCAGAGTCGCTAATAATTGCTGTAGCGGACTTAAGCCATTATTACACCCACAGTTATATTGTAGGTCCGCTCCAATTTTTAATAAAATTTCTTCAATTCGGCAACGGGATAGCCGAAATTTTTCTACTACATCAGAATCTAAACTGTAGCTGATGTTTTCTTTTATGGCACGCCTTTTATTATTTGCAGATTTTCCTCCTCTAATAAATTTAATAGTTCGAATGGAAGCATTTTTTGTGTCAATATTTTATCGAATCACGTGTTAGAGCTTAAGTTTTAGATTGTTAAGGTATAACTGTATTATCCTTTTACAATAAATAAATAAATAAATAAGTTCATTCAGACTGAATAAATGTAACTTATCACTTGTATGATAGGTAAAATTACTTTTAGCAAAATAATGCTAAAGTTAACAAAATGAAAGATGATAAGTGATATATACCAATTTGTGGTGCAACAACATGCTAATAAATTTTGATAATTTCCATAACTTATCACTTATCCGCTAAAGCCTTTTCGCTAAGCATTTCAAATTTTGGTGCAACGCTTATCTACGATCTTGAGTGATATTTTACTTATCAATACTCATTTGAGTGACTTTTCCTTATCATGTTGGTAAAACACAAAACTTTGCGCAAGTTCGATAATCTGCTAAAATGCTAATGATAATTCGTTGGTGCAATAGGGCCCAGGACGAATAAAAAATTTCCTTTTAAAATTTTATCCTTTTATATCCTTGGAAATTTCCAATATTTATTTTTGAAAAAAATATATGTCAAGGACTAATATGTAAACTACCACGTCCTCGAATTTTGTTCTTCTGACTTTATTAGTTTAGATAAAAAATTTTACACTTCTCTTTATAAGATATTGATAGTTACAGTATACATAAATGAAGATACTGGAATCGTTATTTTGGAACAATGTATGCGCTCTAAAAGAGCAAACTTACCGTAGTTTTGAAAGGACATTTTCAATATTTATTCGTCCTTGTGCAACAAAGGATTACATTTTTTTAATTCTACAGAATTTTTCCTTTTAACTGATACCCATATTGTTACCCCATAATGCGCCAAATCTTTTAAATAATATTTTTATTCAATCATATCCTGGAAATTTCAAAGTCCTTTAAAAAAATTCTGATGTCAGAGAGAAAAATTAAAAACGGAGTTATACTATATTTGGCTCCTAGATTTGTGAATATATGGATTTTTTCGTGTGTTTTAATTTTTTTTTGGTTTTTGTCGAATGAATCCAACAATTTTATTGAGCTTGGGCCGTTTTTTATGCTAAATGTTGCAGAAAAGCAGCAATAATTTACAAAGGGAAAAGTTATAGCTGCTATTTCGGCTATCACCACATCTGATCATCACTTCTTCAACCGTGGTCACTGAGGAGATGTGGTGATCTCCGAATTAGCAGCCGATCCCACTACAGAACCATGCCACTTAGCTTTTCGAATGGCTGCTTTATAAGTTCTTATTTTAATTTAAAAATGAACGGTGATGATTTAGGTATGTATGTATCTGAATACATCGGGTTAAGCAATATTAAAAGCTTTCCTAGATTGGTTTGGAAACGTTTTTATTTCAGAAGGCAAGCAAACTAGTAAAAGGGGAATGGAAAATGGTTTCATTTTTAACTCCACTATTTTGGTGATGAGATAAATAAGGTCTATCACGTCAAATGTCCAAGGCGCACTGAGCGGTGGGAAAATTCGAAAACTGGTTTCTGTGGATTTTCCAAACATATTCATATGTTCTACTTATTTTTTTAAATTTATTAGCATTGTTTTGGTAATGTCTGATCTAGTAGCACTGAATTCCTAATTGGCAAGTTTTTCACCTATGGTACCACTATGCTTTAGTTCTTTGGTTTGCTACTAAATTCCTGCAATTTTTCAACCAGCCTTCGAATATTTCAACAAATTGAAATCCCATGAAATTTATGACTAATTCTGCCTACTAATCTTGCTCCACGGGATATTCAGGATGCAGATGCAAATGAATATACGAACCACATTGACCAAAGGCATATGAAATTTACGATTAAAAAAGGAGATGTGGTCAGGCCTACTGGAAATACCGGTTTTCTCGTAACTTTAATTTCCGAAAATCGTATGCAATTGCAAAAACAGCAGAAGAAGTGGAAGGCGACAATCAATGCTGTCAACCAAGCCATAGCCATAATTTAATTACCACAACGAAAGTTTGCGTCTCCGTGGATGTGAGTAGAAGATTTGAATAAGCTTATAGCATTGCACAAGTGTGCTATTTAAGCATGTGTGAATGTACATATATATGCGTGTTGGCAGGGCGCGCATAAGTCACCAGAAAATGAGAGAAAAAGTAAGATGGATGCTGCGAATATATCCCTGGCAGATGGTACAGGAAGTATAGTGGCTGCTGCAGGATGCGTATGGTTCGATGCAACTTGCAAATCGAAAGTAAAATCTTCTAAATGTACACATACATATATGGATGTGTGCGTGTAAGCGTAGGTTGGCAACCGCTGCCTGCTGAGTCAAAGGATTGCCGGCCTGCTTGGTGATTTGTTTTGCAGCATTTCGAGTTTATTTGTAATTTCTCTTCGCCAGCCATAAGGGTTGGCAGACAATTGTTTTTTTTCTATATCCAAAGTAAAGCCTAGGAAACCTGGGAGGCAAACAAACAGATAAATATATAGGCAGGAAAAATGTGACAACAGGTTAAGAGCGAACAAATGTGTGTATGTATGTATTTTCATATGCAGAGGTACACTCAAAAGTAGTAGGCAGGATGTGCCTTCAGTTTTCTTGTGTAAAGTATATGCACGTACATACACACATTTATCAAAAGCTCATATTTTTTAGTTTGCAAGCGAGTAGCTGTAAATTGCATGCTTATCATTCTGTTGAGATTGCAGATAGGTTGCTGAAGACGGAAGAACAAATAAATTTTTGCCTAGAAACACTACAACAAAATTGTGTGCGACAAAATATGTATGAAATTTGAGAGGTGGCTAGTAAAATATTTTTGTTTTTCAGCTCGGTTTTGGTGTCGTAAAAAATTGCTCATTCATGCCAGTTGCACTGCCACCGAAAAAATGTGTAACATTGTTCTACGAATGCTTTCTTGTGTGTACATTGCAACTGCCGGTAGTTTTTGTTTTAAATTTGATACTCACATCGTATATCCAGATGCACTGGATTGCTCTCACCATCGCCTTCTCGGTTGCTACCGATGCAAGTGTAGATACCTCCACGAGCGCGGCTTACATTCTGAAGCACCAGACTCTGATTGGACACGATGATACCTTCGCCTGGATTATTTTCAAGAACGTTGCCCTGGAAAAATTAATTGAATAAAACAAGATTTCCAAAATACATGTACTACAATTAAAAATGGCCAAAATCGCTTAGGCGGTTACAGCGCCAATAAAGAAAGAGGAATGAGAGTATAGTATTTTAATTTAAACCTCGCAAATGCGCTTACATATATGTACAAACTAGACCTCTGCATGAGTTGATTCGTTTTACAACGTTTGAACGTTGCTATCTCAATACTCATAACAACACACCTATTCATTAAAATTCAATAAAAGTCATAGTCAATCACATTCATTTAATTAGAATATGAATGATTCATTTATCGTTTTGAATTGATTCATGCAGACGTCTAGAACATAAATATGTATGTAATAAATAAAAACAAGTAAAAAAGTATATTTTCAGGCATGACCTAAATTCATGTACCCGACTCAGTAGATCACGAAATGTACACATCTCTTATGGTTCATTCCTAAGAATTGTTGCTGTTATATAAAAAATTGGCTGATTTCAAAAAATTACAACTTTGGCAAATGTCGACAAGCTGTTACTGCGATTCACATACATAATAACTACAAATTTCATAATAAATGTGCGGTTAAATGACAATATCCAAAAGTGACATAAGTGTACGGGTAGAGTAGAGTAGTTGGTTGTCCGGATTTTTGGAAAGTTACTTTTCTAAGTTAATATTTCGTGTGTTTTATTAAAAATGCATACAGTTTCACTTTATTTATGTGCCTCAAACTTAAATAAATAGTACAACTACATGAAAAGGCGGATAGAAATAGTTTGGCAAATATGTACATGAGTGCTGTTTTTGCGACTATGGTTTTTTTTCACTTCTAACTCGAAATTTTGTAAAAAATACCTAAAAAAATTCCCTGAAAATTTGAACTCTTAATACAAACATTAAGTACTCGCCCAAGACGTGCAAGATTTCCCATATCAAATGTACGTAATCTTTGAGTTTTTTTCTTAAAAAGTCTACAGCTCAGAGGAATTTTACTGTATAATCTTGATCAATGATGTTGATTTTTTCATGAAATTCTAGTTTTTTGCCCCCAACTCGAAAAAAACAAGATCTAAAAAAAAAAACAAGTTAGAGAAACTGTAACTATCTGTTGATAATGAGTGAAAATAGTGCGAAGTTTAAGGTTTATAGCTGCATAAATGGAGAAGTTATAACAAAAAAACTCATATCTGAGCAATCAGTTGTATGGAGGCTATAGGTTATAGCGACCAACTCTTCACCATTTCCACTGGAAGTATTCTTTCATGTTCCCAACTATATAAATGCAGGAGGTATACTGAAATTCTCATGTCTGAACAATCACTAGGATGGGAGATATATGTTACAGTGACCCGATCCTTGTTATTTTCACTGTAAGTATTCTGTTGATAATGAGTGAAAACAGTGCGAAATTTAATGTTCCCATAAATGGAGGAGTTATGATACAATACCCCATATCTGAACAATCCAATTCTTCCGGTTCCGACAAATGATTAATATAATACAAAAATACACCCACTTACCCAATCTAAATCGACTCAGCTCGATGTTCTGATCATATAAGTGTACATTTTAATTAGTATATCTCTTTTTATTCTGGTACTTACAAACATCGAATCAAAGTTGTAATGCGCATGAAAGATATAAATATAAATGACAAATTTGTAGGAATTTTAATATCCTCCAAAAAAGTTTTGGGCCACCAAATCGCTAATATCGATATTTCTTGAGGTATTGGGCTTTGAAGTTGAGGTAGTGTGGAATTTTCATGGATTATTAAGCTAACTTGTAGAAATTGTTGATCATTTTCAAAGTCCAATATCTCAAGAAATGTGATATTAGCGATCTGGTGTTGTAGAACTTTTTTGTAGGAAATTTAATGTCCTACATGTTTGTTATTCATATTTTTTCTGTGGCTCTTGTCATTTTCGAGATAGAGGCAAAAAAAAACGAGAATTTCATGAAAAAATTGGGTTTAGTGACCCATACTACCTCGCTGGTGGGAGTTAGGATTCCACCGCAATGAGCACTTAAGGGAGAGTACTTAATGTTAATATTAAGGGTTCAACTTTTCATGAGTTTTTTTAGGTGTTTTCCATAAAATTTCGAGGTAGGAGTGAAAAAAAACAATAGTCGAAAAAAAGCACCTTAATGTACATACATATATATGTATATTATTGTTTTTTGTTACTAAACTAAGAAAACAAGAGGAAAATTTAAATCTTATGTTATTTTTAAAAGGAATAAACAGTTTATAATTTGAAACTATACCACCCAGTTTAACTAAAGCAATTTAAGTGAAAAATGATTTCTTTTATTTTAATTTTGTTATGAAAACTGACAGAGGAGAAAAAGTCATGGTTAAACCGTCAGCAAGTTTTCTGTTACCAAATCTAATCTGAAAAGAATTGGATCAAATGACGCCTGCCCGTCTTTCATGGTATATCGGTTTTCCTGCCATTCTAGTGTTAAGTATCCGGTCCGTATGTACAAACATGGCTTAGAAGATTTCTCTTTTCAGTTAGTTTATTCTCAAACACAAACCATATGAATCGAACTCTGGCAAATTTTAACAAAATTTCAATCAATTTTCATCATAATTTCAGACTTTTTAATAAATTTCAGTATTATAAAGCGTTAGGTTTAAGTAGCCAGGACTTACCGATTTTTGTATTTTTTTTTTGCCAAAAATCAGCGACAAGCTCTGCCACTTCAAGCTTATATATTATTGTACTAAAATTGAATAGCTTATAAAACTGCATACTAAAAATATTTCTAAGAAATTTAATGAAAAAGCTTTCAATTTTTAAAGGAGTTTGTTCAATTTTTTTTGAATTTTGAAGGTTTTGGTTGAAGGATAAACTACATAGAATACCTTAAGTTAAATAGCAAAGGATGAATTGTTAAAACTGGTCAATATGGGGTGCATTTATAATTTTTGCACGGTTGAAGTGAGATAAAAAAAAAATAAAAATAATTGGTTTTCTAATGGCGGCAGACAATGGCATACCCCAAAGTGTATTTCTGACATGAAAATATACATATATATGTATGTATAAAATTTCATGAAGCATTTTGATTCTGTGGCCAACAGGGAAATTCTAAAGAAAAAAGTTTTTCGTAAGGCAGTTGTCAATTGGGGCAACTATATTGGAAATTTTTGGTTCTGTTTGTTTTTACCAATAGGTTAGGTTAGGTTAGAGTGGCTGCTCCGCGCAGAGCACGGAGCCCACGTAAGGTGGAAAGCCCGTTGTGATACCACTGGCCGAAGCCATTTTTGATTCCTTCCCTCACTTAGTAGTTCAACCAACGAGTGCGTTTTATATAGCACAAAAAGTCGAGGATGTTCGCCGAGTTCAAGTCGGCTAAACAATACAGAAAGTACTTGTTGAACAGTTGGTTGTGCGTGTTGGCCAGGACTGGACAATGACAGAGATAATGTTCGATGGTATCCTGCTCCTCCTCGTCCCTGCAATTGTGACAAAAATCGTTTGTGGGGTATCCTAACCCTTTACCATGTGTACCCATCAGGCAATAGGCAACGTCCAGTGATTACCCCGACTAATAATCTGAGAGAGGAGCGATCCAGCCAAGTAAGAGCTATGGGTCACCTAACATAAATTTTTGGAAAAATTTGCCTGGTAGTATGGCAGGTGGTTTCCACAGCCCACCTGGTGTTTACCTCCTCGATAAGTTCAGCCTTTAGTCTCTGTTTGCAGGAGGTTAGTGTTATGCCCGCATTCTGAGCAGAATTGACATCAGATGTTTCCGTCCCCTTCCTTGCCAGCTCATCGGCTGGGTAGTTGCCAGGAATCCCCCTATGTCCAGGGACCAGTACAACAGTCAAAGAGCATTTTGATGTCAGCAGGTTGAGCGTCTTCCTGCGTTCTATGGCTACTTTGGACGTTGTTCCGTTTTTACCAATCAAATTTTCAAAAATAAGTAATGAAAAACAGTATATTAAGTTAATAAAAATTAAATGAAACTAACCGCCGGGGCCGGTTTCACCAGCAATGTAAAATGATTTCTTATTTTCTGTCAATTTCCAATTAAATTCAATAAATTAAAATAATTTTTTACTTAAATTTCGTGAAATTGGCTGTAAAAAATTTATTTAAGTTTTAACCCTAGATGGCACTTTCTATTTTTTATACGCTAAGGCCCATGTACGTCGATTCGACGACGCACAGTGGGCCAAAAAAGGCTGCTGTGGACACATGAGTTTTGAGAGCCCAAATATGAAGCGATTTCAAGTTTCTTTCTATTAAATAAAAGACAATTAAATTTCGCGTCGATCTATTCCTGGTGATTTTTTAAAAAGCTCTGGTTTTTATTTATTTATATTGAAAAATTAAAGAAAAAAAAATTCACGCTTGAATGCTTCTCTCTTTTGGAAAATACTTGAAATTAATTTTAAATGTCTGCAATTCTTGAAAAAAAAATATTTATAAATATTTATCCATATGATTCGTTTAATTAAAAAATGTATTCCATTCGTTATCTATACTAATATATATTTTGAAAGCCGGTTTTTCGCTTATTTCTAATCAAAAAACTCGAGAACAGCTGTACCGATTTTATTCAAATTTTGGACATCGACTCTAGACCCTCTAAGGATGATAATAGAAGAAAAATAATTTCGATATATCAAGAGGGCTTGGCACCTACCATACAAACTGAAGTTTTCACACAACATATCTCTGGAAGTATTCATCGTAGAGTGCTGCAACTTAGTACAGAGGTATACATATAATTTCAACGCCAAACTCATGGAAAAAAATGGGATTTATTGAAAAAGCGGGCGTGGCACATCCCATACAAACTGAATTTCTCACACCACATACACATTCCAATGTGAGAAATTCAGTTTGTGTTGGAGGTGCCACGTTCCCTTTTTCAATAACCCCATTTTTTCCGTGAGTTTGGCGTTGATATTATATATCTCTATGTTGTGTGAAAACCTTAGTGTGCGACGCCTATTTTGATTTGTTCTGCAGTCTTTCGA